GCGCCGCTAGCGCTAATTTGCGCTGCGGACCGGCCGGCAAGGCCCGGCCGCACTCCGTGGACTGGCGCAGGGATGGTGAAAGGTGCCATCTCTGTGCTTGGTCATCCTGCTGCCCGTCCGGTGCTTCGGCCCGGGCGTAGATGGGGTTTTCCACGTGGCAGTTGTAGGGGATGGCACGTCGGCGTGACGGAATCAAGTTGTGAGTAAAGACGTGGCGCGGTTGTTAGGGGAGCGGCTCTGACAACACAGTAAGATACCGTAACAGCAAGTTTGACGACAAATGGCGGCTTCATCTACAGCTATATCGATGGAGCAGATGGCGATGGAGGCGGCGTCCATGCAAGACGCTCTTGCTGCCGCTGGCTTTGGAGAGGAGGGTGCCGCACTGGAGATTGTGCAGATGTACAAACGACAGATGGAGGAGATCTATACTACGCTTATCCAGCATCGACACAATCTACCGGCGGATCTTCTCGACGAGGGTGAGGAGCTGGTCGGTGGTTGGGAGGAGGACCTCTATGCAGATCTTCCATCTCAACGGCTGGGCGTGATCGAAAATGAACAGGTGATGGCGGAATTGGGTGTTTGTGTTGAAATGATAAAGAAAGTAAAGGGAATCTTCGATGAACTTAGGGAGGGGTTGTATGGGGGTGCAAGGTGCGATGATGTGGAAAAGTGTTGCTGCGCGGGGCCTGAGGAGGGGCAGGTGCTGCGCACTGCGATGCAGGATCGATCGTGGGAAGTGGAGGTCGTGATTCGTCGTGGGGGGCTTGAGGAGGGGTGGGGTCCTTGCGGCGAACTGTTGGAGCGTGACAACGACGCAAGCACGATCGGTAGGTATGATAACACCGATTTCAGCACAGAGAGTAATGGCATCGCCGGTGGTTACAGCTTCAACACCAAATTGAATAAGAACAACAATGACAATGATAATAAGCGTATCGTTAATGATTGCAGTGATGATTGTTTCGAAGCAGGAGATACTGCTTTTTTTGACGCTTTCTTTGATGCTGTCGCTGACGACAACAACAGCAACACCACTATCAACAAAAGCGGTGAGATCAACAGAATTCATGATGGTGGCGAAGACAACAACGTCGGAGATGACTTCCTCGAACGCGTTGATACTGCTTTCGTTGAGGTCGTCGCTGGGAACGGCAATGACATTTGCGATAATAACGACAATAAGCTCAACAACAATGGTGGCAACTACGTCATTCATATGACCAGGGCTATCAACAACAATAACGTGGTTGGAGACAGCATATATGACAAACGTCATGATAATGCGCAGGCTCACTCCCGCTCTTTTCACCTTCTCTTTTTGCTTCGCTGGTTTTTCGTGAAGCCCGATCAGGGCTTGGGGTGTGTGGGGTGGGTGATGGGCAGGTTTGGGATACAGAAAGATTGTGTGGCAAAGAGGGATACCGGATGGAGGCGAGTAGGGGTGGGATAGAGCTGTTAGGGAAAATTGGGCCGCATAGGGCAGTGCGTGAAAATATCGCTTTCTCGCGGGGTTGCGTGGTGGTAACTCGGGTTTCGTATGGTCTTTTACTATACATGATTGAGCAGGTGGCGAGGAAGTGGGAATATGTCGCAAATCGCAAATTGCCACGTCGCTGCTCGGTGATATTTCTCTATCTACCCCCTTTTCTTTGACACGGATTGGTATGAGCTGTGGCCGCGTCGGATCCCCTCTGTTTCATCGGTCGACGTGCTGTTGGTTTATTTCTGCTTTTGTCTGCCTGATAGCGAGTTCAGAGCAGGCGAAGATTAACGGTTGGAGGTTTCAATGGGGGATGGCATTTTTTATCTTCCCTATGGATGACAACCCCTCTTCCTCATAGGCATGTTTACGATCCACATAGGCATGTTTACGATCCATGTGGCTTATGATGAGGAATTTGAAGTAGGAATATGACTCTGAATTTGGATGGGCAGTTAATCCCCTCAGTTGAGGGCAATCAATGCTGCCCACCGGGTGCTTGGCGTGCAAACTGTCGGGTTAGAAGATTAGCTGGACTGACACGTGGCTTGCCCATATGAGTTCAAATATCTCCATAGCAAACACTTTGAAAATTAATGTAGAGGGACGCTGGACCCGTTTTTCAGCAGGTGCTGCTCCCCACCAATAGATGGAGCCTCCCCGAGCATGCTAGCGGTGTCTGCTCTTACCAGCAATGCTAGCATTCACTTGGGTTGTTCATGCAAAAAAAAAAAAAAAAAACACCAGTACTTGGCCCAGCTATCGATGCCGAGCCTGGAATGCCCCTGCGTGCCGATTTTTACCGAAGCTCCGGGGTACCGTTTTGTTTTGTTTTTGGCTGGCGCTTCCAGCCATTGTGGTCCGGTACCCCGAAGCCCTAAAGGCGTGGCGCGTTAACGGGGAAGCGCCGCGGCCGATAGCTGGGCCAAGTACTGGTGGTTTAATGAAGGTGATAGGAGCACCCTCCATTAACAGGGTCCCAGTTTTAGATGGCTCCAGTCTATTGGTGGGCCGTATCACCTGCCGGAAAGGGGGGTAAGAGGGTCCAGCGTCCCTTGATACAGATTCACAATTTCAACATTACAGTTGTGGCAGCAGCAAAGACTCGAAGACAGATCTGTTAGGCTATACTTATGTGCTCTTGAGCTTGGTCCCATTAGCAATGGGATAAAAAAGAAGAAGAAGAAGAAGAAAAAAAAAAGGATAGAAAAGAGTTTGTGTGGCAGTTGAGTGACCCAAGAATTTGTGTGGCAGTTGAGTGACGGAAATCCTGCCGTGCAGTACTGGTGATCCCACGTTCAGTATTTTACATGTATTACCCGAATAAGTACGGAGATCTTAAGTTTGTTCCCCTCCTCCTGTCCTTAACACTGGGCATGCCAGCGCAAAGGAAGCTTCCCGCCAAAATCCCAAAAACATTAGGACATCTTTGTTCTCCTCTCCTTAACACTGGGCATGCCAGTGCTAAGGAAGCTTCCCGCCAAAACCTTTTCAATCTGTTGGGGGTATGGCCTATGCCAAAAGAGGGTGAAATGGATCCACACTCCCACCACAGGCCTAACACCTCCTCCATGCTGGAATGAATCCACACTCCCACAGGCCTAAATTCTCCTCCATGCTGATGCACAGATTTGAACCGGCAATAGTGGCCTCAAGCGCCAAGTCCCTTAACCACGATAACCATGACATCATATACAACACTACACCCGTGCCAGTCATGATATCCAACCCCACCACTGCAAGGCTGTAGTGTCCGGAGTCCGGACACAACTTAACACCACAATCAACTCCTCGGGACGCATCGGCAATTCTCGCACACTCAGCTCCAACTGAGCACGTATCCTGCCTCTTTTTTTTTTTTTTTTTAATTTAAAAACAGTCCCTCCAGTGCTAGCGATGCTGTTTAGAGCAGACATTGCTAGCACCTTGCGCAGAGACTCCATCTATTGGTGGGGAGCGTCACCTGCTGGAAAACGGGTCCAGCGTCCCTTACACAGTTTGGTACAGTATGATACATAGAAGGAAAATTGGATGGTGTCTGGAGGGTGCCTGCCAACATTGATTGCTCTGGAATCCAGAGGATTGACTGAGCAGGTGTGCACGTATCCTGCGTCAATTATATGCCATTAAAAATATCCTACCCCTTAAGCGCGGTGGGCCCGCGGGGGGAGGTCGTGTTCCACTGCGCGCTGAAATCGGCCCGAAGTTTTGATTCGGGCCGGCGGATGAAGGCGATCGAGGGAGGGGCGTTGTGCAGAGTGGCGCGCGTACCGAATTGTTCACAGTGCGCCACTAAACGAGAGATCGCGCCTACGGGGCCGGGTAGACGGCGGGCGTCGATGTGCATTAATATCTGCACGCGCCCGCCGTCGGATTGCAAGAAAGTGTCGTTTCGTGCCCCGGCCCCTTTTTTCTTTTCTTTTTTTTATTTTTGATTTTGCATATTCTTGAATTCGTTTTTCTTTTTCTTTCTTGAATTCGTTTTTCTTTTTCTTTCTTTAATTCGTTTTCGTTATTCAATATCTGAACGCCCCCGCCGTCAGATTGCAAGAAAGTGTCGTTTCGTCCCCCCGCCCCTTTTTTCTTTTCTTTTTTAATTTTTGATTTTGTATATTCTTGAATTCGTTTTTTTTTTTCTTTCTTTAATTCGTTTTTGTTATTCTTTATTCGTTTTGACTCCTGGTCGGCGTGTCGTTTTGGCGGCAAGCGCCGGCGTCGGCACCGACAAAAGGAAGCGGGGTGGCGGGAGGGTGGAGGCAGTGACCCACCTCCACCCTGTCGTTTTGGCGGCAAGCGCCGGCGTCGGCGCCGACAAAAGGAAGCGGGGTGGCGGGAGGGTGGAGGCAGTGACCCACCTCCACCCTCAGACCCCCACCCCCATGCACCCACACACCCGCACCCACCCACACAAACACACACATGCACCCACCCACATAGACACACACACACACATTAATATTTTGAAGTTCACTATCAATAGTTGTTGTTGGGGTTCGAACCCACACACAGATTTGAAATACCCAACTGCCCTAACCACACAGGTGGATTGGGTCCCTTTGTGGTTTGGGGGACTCTTCTTTTTTAAGTGTATCCGACGTCAGGCAGCTGACAGGTGTGTCAGAACCGTAGCTGGCCTGTACGGAGGGGCGGCGACCGTTCGTCACCGGCCGGTCCAATCCCGCCATTTGCAAGCGGCAACTTTGCTGATTTTTTGTGCTCAGAAGAATTCATCAAAATGTCTGCAAATTTGAGGGTCCGTAGGTTAGTTCCTGATCTTTCGTGGCGAAATATTACAAAAAAATAATAAAATTTTCTTGACCATGAAATATTCGCCGCGCCAATTTGCTGCATTTCCAACCGGCGGTTAAAATCCCGCCATTTGCAATCGGCAACTTTGCCGATTTTTTGTGCTCAGAAGAATTCATCAAAATGTCGGCAAATTTGAGGGCCTACAGGTTAGGTCGTGATCTTTCAAGGAAAAAAAATAATAATAATAAAAAAAATCATTTTGACCGTGAAATATTTGCCGCGCCGATTTGGTGCATTTCTTATTTCCCCCCCCTTTTTTTTTTCTTTTCGCAAAGCCAGGAAACGGGCCTGGCGTCCCTCACAAAATGACGTGGTCCCGTCGCGGAGCACGGAGCGAGACATCACCGGTCAAGCTCCAAAACCGGACCACAGTGTTACCACAAACTGTAATTCTGAACCATCAATACACAGGTCCCAAAAGCATCAAACAAAGTACCATCTAATCTAGAGAAAGAGGAAACAGGCTGCCATCCGTCAGTCATCCGAGATTGCTTACCAAACCCTGCAAACCGCTCTGCCACCCGCGAGGCAGGGGACTCCAGCCACAGGCCCCCAACTGCAGATGCAGTCCCCGCAAAACCCACCCACCTCCTCGCGATTCAGAGCGGGTCACCCCACTGAAACCAACACTCACCAACACCGAAAACACCAACTCCCACCACGATGGTGTTTCTGCTTACCGTCAGAGGAGATACCCTACCACCCGCACGGCAGGGGCCAAAGGCCCCACAGACCCACCCACCTCCACGCGATTTAGGGTACACCGACCCCCAATCTGCATCCGCTCTCA